TAACTCTCCACTAACCTATGAGAAATCAGAATATTCTCAGACACTTCTATATCTTTACCAATCTCAAAAATATCCTCAATTATATACTTCAGGCATTTCTGTAGTAACCCTTATGGTTACTTATGGTTTTATTACTTACTTATGGTTTATTATTCTTAATCTCTTCCCCATTGGAGACTATGAATGTATATACTTTTATTTTTTGCTTTTTTTTTTTTTTTTTTTGAGACATGCGTAGTTTAGGCAGAGCTTGAACTCACTATGTAGCCCAGGCTGGCCTCAACCTCGTAGCAATTCTCTTGCCTCAGCTTCCCAAGTGCTGCGCTTACAGGCATGCACCACCAAGCCCAGCTTGGTGAATATATATACTTTTTAAAATACTGTTTTATGAAAAATACTCATGCAATGATTTGCAGTGTTAAGTAAATTGGTCTGAGGAGACTTTTGTACTTTGAGTTCTAAGATAATAAATTGAACCTAACCTTGTTGTGAATTAAACTAGGTATTGTTGTGTAAAAACTGAAACTTGGCCAGCCAGTCACAGCAAGCCATTCTTCAGTCTATCACAGGCTGCCAACTCATCAGGCAAAGTTCAAATAAGGCAGACACTGAACTGAATCAATCAAGCAGCTTCTGTATATCACTTCTGTTTTCCAGTCCTAAATCTGGTTGCCCATATTGCTAATTGGATCTGTCTGGACCTCTTCTGATACTCAAGCTGACTAATTTGCTAATCGTTTTTCACTCAAACTAAAATTTGATTTTTTAGGAGTTTTAACTGTAACAGAAGCTTTGACAAAGATGGGTAGTTCAGGATTTCTCAACAGTGGCACTACTGACATTGAAGGCTGGATAATCCTTTGCTGTAAGGGGCAAGACATTTACAGCACCTCTGGCTTCCACCTATCAAATGCCAGAAGCACTCCTCCCTCCTGGTTCTGACAATCAGAAAACATCTCCAGACATTCCAAATGCATCAGATGGAGGGAAATCAGCTTTTTTTAAGAAGTGACAGATTAATGGTACTGTTATTCTTTTAGTAATATACAATGCTCAGACCCAAGAGAAAATTAAACATATCCTCATGTACGGCAATATATGTTAATATGTCCATAATAATGGATGTAATAACAAACTGTAAAACACATGATCACACTTTTGAAAATAAATATGGATGCCATGCAGGGGCCACTGTAGGGAGAGCTAGATGCCAGTCTTTTCCTGTGAGTCAGGAACATCTGCAAACTGTGGGGGAAAAGAACAAGAAGTCACCAAGAAGCAAGCCCTCCCTGCAAACTGGTGCCATGCACAGGCTACAAGGGGAAGAGCCTGATGCCAGCCACTTTCAGCATGCAGGCTAGGAAACAAGTCAACCCTGCACCTGCCCCCACCCTGAACGCCGTAACAGACCAGCTGATTCGGAGGAACACAGGCTGTGATGATAGCTACTGAGGTAAAATACAATTTAATGCTTGTACTGTTTAGTGTTTCACTGACTTTGCAGGTCTAAAGTCTGTCTATTCAGAGGATACAATACGCAATGTAGCATCTACGGGGGAACTCTTTCTGAAAGTGGTAGCCATTAATTCCCTATCATCTTATTTTGAAGTCCTGTATCATCTTCACTGTTTTGTTGGGCTGGCTTTTATACTGTTTTGTTTTGTTTGACTTTATTATAACAAATGGCATGGGCAGCTATTTCAAAGATAAGATCTATGGTGGCAGTCATTTTGGATTTACTCTTGTTTTGAAGGCTTTTCTTGCATTAATTTTTGTGTAGGTTTTTTTTTTTTTTTTACTGGTTCTGTTCTGTTGTTTTGTTTGATTTTTACTATGTGTGAAGGACTCTGCAGCTATTTTGAAGACAGCAAGAGGCATTATGGTAACCACTGTTGACTTCCTACTGTTTTGAAGTCCTGTGTTACATTGGTTTGTTTTGATTGGCTTTATTGCTCTATTTTGTTTGGTTTTACTCACTTTAAAATAAAAATTAAAAAAATAAAATAAATAAGTACAGTTAAGTTGTACATACAAACATTTGATTTGTGAATTCACCCAGATAAGAATGGAACTCACATTGTAAACATTCACAGGTGAGAACAAATCGTATCAACAGCTCACCTGTCTGCAGGACATTGTCACAGTACAGCTGCTGCATTCTAACTATATAATGCAATAGTGTAGAGTAGTACAGGTCAGTTGGAACCTTATTGTATTTTTATATTCATTTTTTCATGCTTTACACTGTATATCTGTGTCAAAGGTATGTAAGATTCACTTTGTCAGACCGATGAATGAATCCAATTTATGAACATTCTCCCAGAACTGAATTTGTTCATAAATTCGGAACTTACTAGATTGTATAAACATTATATGTTAGATATAACCTGACAGAATTAATACTATAAAAGTTGACAATAATGAATGTGAGTTAGGATTATGTATCATAGAATTTATCTGTATTTGTCAGTTTCCTACAACAAATATAGATCACTTATACAAAAATATTTTAGAGTGTTTCTAAAAGCATATTTATGTTACACATGAAAAAGTACTGAGTCCATTTAATAATGATGGTGTTAAAGGAAGTTATGCTTCTGAGTTTATCGTTTTATGTATGGCATATCTGAATCCATTTAACATCAGAGTCCTACTGAACCAGCTTGCTTGGTTCCATCTATGAAAACACTACAATAATCCTTACTGAAAACTACAGTAGATAACCAACTAAGTTCTTTGTTTCTAAAACAACTCACTGCTATTAATTTAGGTATAAAAAGATATTTTTAAACAAAATGTTAATTTACATAATCTGATAAAATGGATAAAAAGCAGTGGGTATGGGTTCTGTTTTCCTTTTTAACATAAATGATATCTCTTTCTTCTTAATCAGCCTTAATACATTCTCACTCTCATTCTCTACATGACCTTTCACCTAGTAAGCCACTGAACCATTTGGTATAAACTATTGGCATGCACTCAAGGAGCACAAAGATTAGTAAGACAGGACATACAACCAAGTACAAATTTAAAAAAACATTATAAAGTAAATTCATTATAAATGTAATTTTCAGACTACTAGCAAGCAATTCCAATTACACCTGAAGTACCGGAGTTACTGTTTCCACAGCATTTTTCCAGCACAAACTAAACCATTACAGTCTAGTGTCATCTGCAGCTTTACATTTGTCTGCAGATCTCTGATCCAGATGGACCACTTACCAATACCTGTCAGGCTAGCCAAGAGCTTGCCTTTTCTTACTTGACTCACAACCGTTCCTACGTGGGTCCAGATATCAAGTGAGCTCAGAGTGCCATTTGTCCACAGTCCTCATATACTTTCAATGTTATAAATATTTTTAGTAGCAAGGCAAGTTAGGTTAGCCTAATCTATTTTGGTCTAATCCAGAGAGTTAGATTGAGTCTAAGAAGTGTATGTGCTGTCTGTCCATACATACTATGTCTGTGATTCACAGTTTAAGCAAAGCCTGTACTTTTGATCTGTTGAACATAACACAAATTTTGAGAGCATTTACAAGTATTTACCACCATTATATAATAAAAACTTTTAAAATTCATACATTTGTTTCTAATGTTTTTACATCAACAAGTATTATTCAGGTACAAACAATTGCTACTTTTTTTAAAAGTTCTTGTCAATTAAGTGTTTCGGCAGCCTTCCTGAACAATACTAACAGTTCTGATCCTAAAAAGAATTGGTCTGATCTCTTCAAAACCCTGAACACAGAATAATTCACATAGCTGAAAGTGTATATACTAAGAATAACAAAAGTTAACTTACATTGAATTTATGCACCATGGATTATAATATCAAATTGAATCCTCACAACCCTAGCAGAGTTACACTTTTTATCCTCGTTTTACAGGAAAGAACACTGGAATACAAAATAGCCTTCTCTCAAGTTCTCCTAGCTGGACAGTATATAAGCGCATTCCAAACAAGACTGCTTACCTCCTGAACCATAGTTACAGGTTATTCTACAGTTCTATCATTGACTTTTGCCTTCTAGGATTGAGGAGCAACAAATAACATAAATAAAGAAAAACAAATGAATAAACTCTACCAAAGTCATAATTGAAAAAGGTAAAATTTGAATTACAGCTGGGGGACAGGGCATTTGTTCAATGAATGAGAAGTAAACTCACTTGTTTCTTGGAAAGAAAAATTACTGGATGGGACGAGAAGGCAAGAGTAACAATGAAATCTACAATTTCACAGTGAAAACCTGTTATTCTAACTAAAAACGACATCGGCAAAATTTTGCCTAGAATCATCCTGACATTCAAAAACACAAACAACAGGGATCCCTCACTTAATCAGCACAAATATTCAAACGCCACTGCACAACACAAAAGATTTGGAAAACCAGCTCAGGTAGAGAAAATATCCGGCTTAGAAAACTGAGCGTGAAGGAACAAGAGACATAGCTCAGTGGCACAATGCCTGCCTGGTCCTGAGTTCAATTCCCCATACAGAAGGAAGGAAGGGAGAAAGAACCAAGTATGTGACTGTAGTAAACTATGATGTGTTCAGACTCCTGCAACTCTTGGAATTGTTCCTGCATGCCTAAACACATGCCCGGCTGAAACAGGACACAGCACGGCTTCCCCGCTTTTGGCTCCCAGGTGGCAAGGTCAAATGTGACTTCCAACAATCCCCAAAGGTTGCTGCGTTGACCTTTGCGTGTTCAACAATCCAAGTCAGATTTGGGGTATAGAGATCTGCTGGGTAAGGAGGAAGCATCATCCCAGATCACCAGGACCCTTGGTCCGGTCTCCTGGAGTTCGAGGATGGAAGCCCTGAGAGTGCCAGCGCTTTGCCCCACTCCACAAGCAGGTAGCGGTGAGATCAGAACTCTAGAACCTCGATCCCGCGGCTCCCAGCGCGGCGAGCGCTTCTCCCCGGGGCAGCGACACGGCGGGGCCGACGGCGGCGGCGCGCAGGGGCAGCGGAGAGCACGGCGGGGGCGCCCGGTTACCTGTGTCGGCCCCCGCCCCGGCGTGCACCAGGCGGACCTGCAGACGCTGCTCGGCGGCGCCCGGCCGGCCTCGCAGCACCTGCCGCAGGAGCAGCCGCACACGCCGCGAGGCTGCGGCACTGTGGCCGCCGGGAGCTCCAAGAAGCAGGAGGTGAGACTGCATGGGGCTGGCGGCTGAGCCGAGGGCGTTAAGGAGTCCCGGTCCGACGTCTCCCGGGACGGAAGTGCGCCGAGGGGGACCGGAAGCGGCGGCACGACGCGTCCGCCGGAAACGCCTTCCCCCGGCGCAGCGTGCACTGCAGCGTCTGCCCGGCCTGTGGAGGCGAAAGAGCCGCTCGGCTATTCCCGGGCTCGCGCGTGCTTCGCCTTCCCGGACGCCGCGGGCACTCCGTCGTGGCCCGCCCTTTTGCCCTAGAAACTCTGAAGTGAAAGAAACTCCAAGGAATTTTAGGAACACTTGACTGAGAAGGTTTAGTTAATAGCCCAGATGCGCGCGCTTTCCCGGAACAACGGTTCAAATCCGCTTGTGAACTGAGAAAATACGCGGAGGATTCTGCGCACTTGCAGCGGTCTTCATTCTTTGCAGCCACGCCGGTACCGAAAGCCTTACCCTGTTACTGTTCTAAAATTTTGGTTTCAGAGATAAGTAACACACAGGCATTGATCATACTAGAGCAGCTAGAGAACTTCTTCAGGATAGAGGCACTCCTCTGCCTCTTGCCTCTGCCCCTGCCACCCACCCTTTACACTTACTCTCTTCCCCTCTCTCCTTAAGTAAGAGTTTTTTAGCTGCAGTTCTGGGGGTCCAAAGGATATTGCTGATTTCTTCTGGACTCCAGTGACGGCAGATGCTGAATGACGTCAAAGTGTTGGCAGGATGTATAGAATGAAGAGATCACATGGTGAGACAAAAAACTGGGGGCAGATTAAGGTTTCCTAAGAATCTTATCAATACCCTGTGAAGGCCGCCTCCAATGACCTAAGGACCTCCCACTAGGCCCCACCTCCTAAAAGTCCCATCTCTCATGTCATCACTCTAGGAAGAATCTCCAAACCCTTGGAAGACAGACTCACCATCTACAAACTAAGCTTTCTGCATCAGACCCCACACTTCATGTCTTTCTCACAGTGCAAAATACAGTCATTCTGCAGAATTAACCTTCAAAGACTCCTAGGACCCTACGATAGTTAGTTGTTGGGCCAGCTGGAGTAGAAGCACCCAACCGACTGGATTAGCACAGTTCCAGATGTGACCGAATAGACTGAAAAGGAAAGGCCATCCTGGGTGTGAGTGGCACCAACCAATAGGCCTTTAGCCCGAAGAATGAATAAACAGGGGAAAGAAAAAGATAATCTCTCTGGTTTCACCAGAAGAGAGCCAATCCTTGCCATGGCCTCAGGACTTCTGTCTCCAGGCTTTCAGCTCAGATTCCAGTCTTCAGTGTAGACCCTTTGCTCCCAGCAGGACTCTGAAGTGAGATCTTCCACCTTCGATTGTTGACTCTCCAGTGCACAGACAGTTCTTTTGCATCTGTCCACACCAGACTCTGCAGATGGTCATTGTAAGCCTACCTTGTAAATATTTATTATATGAAATTCATTAGTCTGTTGAAAAGACCCTATATGGTAGAAGAAATATATCATTGGATTTGTAGATAAACAACCAGATTAAATGACGTCAGTGGTTAAAAAATTTAGTCTTATACAACATCTATTAATTTTTTAGAGTAAAATTTTATTTGAAAAATTTTATTGAAAGCAAAAATATACACACACACACAGAGAAGGACCTAGATGTCCCAGAGTCAGAAGAGGTTTGTAAGAGGCACTTCAGCCAAGGAAAGTAGAGATGCAGATCTGCTCCATAACCTCCTCCATGGAAGCTTAGGCTTCCCTGAGCAGCAAATCAGCCTGAGCACTTTTCCTTTCCCATCGTGTCAGTGAACAATGCACCCCTAAGAAAATGCATTAGTCTTACTGCCCAAATTAAGATGAAAAATATGTCTATGTGCAGCAGACAGGAAATTATTAAAAATCAAAAATCTTGAAAATAAAGATGAGAATGAGATAAGAGAATCATCTTACACATTTCTGAGAATGTATGTAGAAACTAGGATTCTGACTCAAGGAAATACATGTTACAGATTTGGGTTGAATATGTTTTCTGCAGCATTATTTCTTATATTGAAATATTTAAAACTATTCAATCATAAAGGGTAACTGAATTATAGTTAAAATACATAGTCACAAAAGCTTCATGATATGTTTAAAAGCATAATTATATACCTAACATGGTTCTAATTTTTTAAAATGTGTAAGAATAGAAAAATATAATTTGAGTGATCAAGTCTTAATAGCCATGAGTTTTTATTGAACATTTTTATGTTTCAAAATATCCATTCTATAAACTTATATTCATTTTATTTTGGAGGAGATAATAAAATGAAGAGGAAAAACATGAGCTGTATTTCTATGCAGTGAGAATGAATTCTTCTTGACATACTTAAATCTGAATTTAGGACACCCTATTATCTAATCCACTGTTCAGTCAGATAACTGAATAGTCTGTTTCTGAATCTGTACATTTCCCTAAGGTCCTACAAAAAATACCCATTTAGCTGTAAAAGAACTCTACTCCCAGGAAAAAATAAAGCTCCAAAATAAAAATAAAATATTCTTTCTCTTTTTTTAAGAGTAATTTCTCTGTACATGCAGGAATTTGACAACAGTTTGTGTTCTTTATGCATTTTAAGTAGTGGCACTTTGAATGGGATCTTGAAAAGAATGTGTGCAGATGAAATGTGAATATCACCCTCAACTGAATTGGTCCTCATCCTGTCAAGCCAATTTGGCTGTTAATTACATGAGTCGAGCTCAGTAGAAGGTGTGGGCTAAGATGCAACCAAGAATTTCATTAGCAGATTCATGACAGTTGAAACCTAGGGAGCAATCTCCATCTAGATCAGTGATTATCAATGGGGAGCAATTTTTTTCCATGGGGAAATGTTTGGCAATGATTTTCGTGTTTAGGGGTAGGGTGATTTTGGCAACTTGTGGTTTAAAGCCAAAAACACTGTATGTTCTTAACACTCTGGAACATACAGGACAGCGCTTTACCACAAAGAATTACCTGGCTCAAAATGTCAACAGTCCTTAAATTAGATAATCCTAATCTAAAAGATGAGCCAGATGTGGTGCTGCATGCCTATAATCCCTGCACTAAGGAGGCTGATGTGGAAAGATGGTTCTAAATTTGAGATAGCCTGGGCTACAAAGTAAGCTCAAGACCAACCTGAACTGCATAGCTAGATCCTGTCTCAAAAAGACCAAAAACAAAACAGAAAAAGGATGTATAAGTAATTCATAGTAAAAACTGAACTCATTCTTTCTCCTGTGAAATTGACTTTTGTTCATAGGTCTGTACACCAGTCAGTAGTAACAGATTTTAATCTTTTTTTTTTTTTGTCTTTTTTGTATTTTTTTTATCGGTACCAGGGATCAAACTCATGACTGCCTGCTTGCAAGACAGGCGCTTATGCCATTGAACTAAATCCCCAGGCCCAGATTTTAATCTTTTCACCAAATTTGAAACACTGCACCCTCCTTCAGTCTTTCCTCATCTTTGCTTCTCTTATCCAAATAAATGAATCTCACAAGTTTACCTCTATCTTACACATCTCATCCTTTCCCTCTTCCCCATGTCTCTGCAAACTTGTTTCTGGAATGCAAATTTAATAATCATTTGTTGTGTGAAATCTTTGACGGATTTCTTTTTACATTCAAGATTAACTCAAAACTCCTTATTAATAGGCCCCTTCATGTTTTGATGTTCTCCTGTCACTCACTGTATGATATGGTATTGTAAACAAACTTTTAATATTATATTATATCTACTCTGATAAACATTGGATATGTTAAAAGGCAAGATCAGTGTTCTTAATCTCTGAATCTCCCATGATTTTCACAGTTCCAATTTTTGTTTAACTATTGAAAGAAACACTTAAAGAGTGAGCAAGAGTGAAAAAGATCAGAGAATCTGGAACAGAATCCCAGAGAACACACTTTTTGGATAAGTGGATAAAATCAGAAGGCTGGAAAACAGTGGGAGGTGTAGAACAGGAGATTTTAGTGTCAACAAACCAACTTACAGTAGAAAAAAAGTCATCAAATGTGACAAAGAGAAGTCAGATAAGATGAAGACTAAAAATAGTAAAACATCAGAAAATACAAAGTAGTTTACAATCTTTTCGAGAGTCATTGTCACAGTCCAGCTGTGTGGAGCCATAGAGAGACTGTTGATGCTCAGTTTAGGGGTACTGCCAGTTAGCAAAACAATCATTTGGGAAGATTGGCTGGGCACAGAACTAAAGGAAAGTAAAAGCCAAGTGAAACTTGCTAGTTAGCTATGCAGCTGGCCTTCAGCATGTCTGACCACCCCAGCCTCAGAGGGTATGGTTTCTCCTTCATTTCTGCATTCCAGGGTTTTTTGTGTCAATCCTAATCTAGAACCTCACAGCAAAAAAGATCCAAGAAACACACCCTCAAATTGAAATGGTGATACCAAGTTGACCCTTCAAAATCTGACATATGTACTCTAGCTCAAAAAATCAAAGCAGCTGGATATTGTAGTAAATGTCTGTAGTCCCAGTACTTTAGTAGAAGGCTATCTCAGGAGAATTGCAGATTTGAGCCCAGGACCCCCAAGTGGCCCAGACTCACCTGTGCTCCATCTCACAAGCCAAAAGTGTGTGCAGTGATTTCCACCCCATGGTGCAGGCTTGGCACATTGCTCAGAGCCTGGTAGAGCCTTACCTAGCATCCCCCAATACCAAAGGACCCTCAGGAAAGTCCCTCCAGGCCTACTTGGTCCCCACTCGGTGGCCCCCAGTGGCCTGGAGCCACCAATGCTATGCTTTCTGAGCCGAAAGTGCACAAAGTGATCTCCATCCATGAGGAAGCACCAGGATGTTACTCAGAGCCTGTTAGGGTACCACCCAGCATCCCCCATCACCAAAGGACTCACAAGAATGTCCCTCTGGGCCTTGTTGGTTCCCACCCAGTGATCCTGAATGGCTGGGAGCCACCTGGTAAATAAAGTAATGACCTCCACTCCACTGGGAAACTCCCTGCAGTAAGGATAGATATTCTCAACCCAAGAAACAACTGAGACCTTGCCTTCAGCTTCCCTAAGGGAACATAGGAAAATGACAAAATGAAAGAGCAAAATGCAATCTCAG